GAATATAGTTAATGACCCTGAAAGAATAAACAACACCTTCAGAGACTTTTACCAAACGTTGTACTCACCACAGACAAACCCATCAGATAATGAGATCAATAAGTTCCTTGACAGGATAACACTTCCTAAATTATCAGACAGCCAAGTTACAGTCCTGGACTCACCACTAACATCAGCGGAGCTCCAGGAAGCCCTTAAATCCATGAGTAATAGGAAAGCCCCAGGTCCAGATGGGTTCCCAGTAGAATTCTACAAAGAATTCTGGATCATTCTGGCTCCAACATTTTTCAGAATGGTGAGGGAAATCGAAGAGAGCGGCAGATTACAGCCAAACATGAATTCAGCCAATATTAGTCTCTTGTTAAAACCAGGCAAAGACCCAGCATTTCCAACCAGCTATCGCCCAATTTCTCTTATTAATGTTGATCTCAAAATAATTTGTAAAGCCCTGGCCAAAAGATTAGAGAAGGTAACCCCCTTCATAATACACCCTGACCAAACTGGTTTCATTAAGGGTAGACAGTCATCCACAAACTCGCGTAGATTACTTAATTTGATAGATTTCTCTTACAGTAGAAACATAGAAACTAGTATATTATCTTTAGATGCAGAAAAGGCTTTTGATAGAGTTAACTGGAAGTTCTTATTTGCAACTTTACATAAATTTGGTTTTGGGAACTTCTTCATAAACTGGCTACAAACATTATACAGTTCACCAACAGCATGTGTCAGGACGAACGACCAAATATCAGCTAGCATCTGTCTTCAGAGGGGGACCAGGCAGGGATGCCCACTCTCCCCCTCACTATTTGCTATCTTTGTTGAACCACTAGCAACAGCAATTAGGCAAACAACAGATATTAAAGGGATAAAGTGTAAGAAAATAGAACATAAGATCAGTCTTTATGCAGATGATGTTTTACTCTTTCTCCAGAATTCTCAATCCTCTCTCTCCCAAGCAATAGAACTGATAAACTCTTTTTCCAGAGTTTCAGATTACTCTATAAACTGGTTAAAATCCACAGTTCTACCAATTAATTTCTCATTTGTCAATTTGCTTAATACACAATTGGAGTCAGAGAATATCACATACCTGGGAATTAATATCTCTCCCAAGTTAGCAGATCTAACCAAACTAAACTACATCCCACTTTTAAGGAAAGTGGAAGATGATCTTGCAAGATGGAAATCCTTACCAATATCACTCATGGGGAGAGTGGCTACAATTAAAATGATGGTCTTACTCAGAATAAATTACTTATTCTCGATGATCCCAAACAAATCACCAGCTGACTGGTTTAAATCTCTGGACTCCTCAATTACTAAATTCCTTTGGCAGGATAAACCTCCACGAATTAGCTTAAAAATGCTTCAGAAGACCAAAGACAGAGGAGGACTGGATTTACCCAACTTTTATTATTATTTCTTAGCCAACAGGCTGCAATGTATACCAAGATGGTTGCAAGATAACCCACTAGATGAGTCCTGGTTAGATATAGAACAGACACTTTGCAATACGATAGAGCTTTCAGACTTACCATTTATTAGCTCAAGCGTAAGAAAACATGAAAGCTTCAAAAGTATTAGTATCAGCACCTCTCTGACAGCATGGTGGGAGTATCTTAAAATGACAGAGTCTTCACTAGTACCATGCAGACGCACACCTATCTGGAATAATCCTGACATTTTGCAAAACAACAAAATGATGAACCTTCCGGACTGGAAAAATAAAGGAATCCCATACCTGGAACACATATATGAAGGATTGGACATCATTCCATTTAATCAAATAGTCTCCCAATTTGGAATGGATAAGAATAGCTTTTTAGAATATCACCAAATTACATCTGTAGTTAAACAAAAATTTAAGCTCAATAAAATAGAATTACAAACACCACCAAGGGTATTAGACTTTTATAATCTCAAACCCCCCAAACTACTGTCTAAAGTATATAAGACACTGTCCTAAATAGACGATAAAATTGCAATCCCTATTGAAAAATGGGAGGTGGATCTATCAGTTAGCTTTGACCAGGACTTCTGGTCCCAAACTTGTTTAAAAACTTTTAAAATGATCAGACACCCCAATTTACAATTAATTCAGTACAAAATTCTACACAGAGTACACTATACAGGTCATCGGATGTTCAAGATGGGGTTTGTGTCGTCTGACACCTGTACACACTGCACAAACAACATTCCTGACAATTACATTCATGCACTGTGGTCCTGCCCACCTGTCCAGGAATTTTGGGGTAGAGTATGTGAGGATCTGTCAAAATGTCTGAAATGTCATATCCCAACTTCCCCCTCTCTTTGTTTACTGGGAAACCTGGACGATGTCCCGATTGAAACATCTTTGGTTCACGTGGTTCTGACTGCCATATGCATCGCTAAGAAAACTATCCTCTTGAATTGGAAAAACAGAGAAACTCTCTGCATTAACCAGTATAGAAATCTTTTGTTAGATCATATTGCACTTGATATAGCCTCTGCTTCCTCTTCAGATGAATCTCTCTGGGCCCCTTTGATCGGTTCCATCGCATAGCGAGGGTGGGGGGCCGTTGATGTTGTCCTACGAGATGGTGTAGGTGGGGGGTGTGGGGTCTGAGTTTGGAGTATCCGGATGTTCCCTGGAGGTGGGTTCACTGGGGGTGTCTGGGACTGGGGGGCCGTTGCCCCCCTCTGGAGGTGCTTGGGTTGCCTCGGGGGGTGGACTACTGGTAGTTGTGAGTGGGGCCCCTTGGGGGGCTTGGCGGCGGCCATGGGTCACTGCCTGGCGGCTGCAATGCCCCTGGGCGGGTCTGGGTGGGGGCCTGGGGGCTCGGGGTTTGGGGGTGGCCGGCCCCGGGTGGGGATCTGGGCGGGGCCTTGGGGGTCGGGTCCTGACATGTATGCTGCCGGGAAGAAGGCAGGAACACGCAGCAGTGCCTGGCCCGGGTTCGGGGGCCTCAGGTACACCTTGGCTCCTCTGCCGTTCCATCACAGGGGAGGGGGGAGGTTCAGGAGGGGGAGGACCCAACCTTACCTGGATGTCCCATGTCTTATATATTCTGGAAGTTGTGCAAATGCAGGGATGGGCATAGATATTCTGCTGGAGTGGGGCTGGGTTGGTGCCCTCGGACTCCGTGGGGCTCTGTAATGCTGCTGCTTTGGACCCTGGCAGGATGGGCTGGGGTCTCCATGCCCTGGGTGGCAGTTTGACAACAGAGGTGCCTATTGGGGCCAGTAGGGGAGCTGGCTCCCTGGAGGGCTAAGCCCAGCCAGCCATTCCTCCCCATCCCCGCATATTTCTCTCCTCCTGCTCCCTCACATCATCACACAAACATACACATAGGATCTTGGGGGGTGGGCAAGTCAGGGAGTGCGGGTATGGACCCCATTTCCGCATTCCTGTGGCAACCTACCCCCCAATTTTATTTGCACCTAATACACTTCCACTGACGACATTCCACACAAACACACACTTAGGGCCTTGGGAGTGAGCACAGTCAACGGCATTTGGCAGGGGGATATTTCAGCCTCCTCCCGGGTGCCGGTGCCCACTTCCAATTTTAAACCGCACTTAGACACTGATGGCTGAGGGTGTAAATGGGGCGGTGCGGTGGCACCAGCTGGCATAGGCCGGATGATGCCCGCACTGCCCACTCACCACAGCCATGGAATACACCTCATGATCACACAACACTATATTGGAGCAGGCTGAGGGAGACTAGGGGTTAGGGTTAGGGTTAGGGTTAGTCCTTGGGGTTCCTGTGTTCTGGGGCAGCACCTGGATCTCTGGGACTTGGAGCTCCCCCCATCTCCTGCGCATCTTTGGGGGGCGGATCTGTGGTCCCTCGCACTCTCTGTTGGACGCTCCTATAGAGAAACCTTACATAAACAAGCGCGTGTACACACACAGGTGCTCACATGGTGCTCTCAAAAGTATGGGCTTGGGAACGTTAAACACAGGTCTTAAGACTATGGTGGGCACTTAATGCACTGTGATTTATTATCGTGATTCTTCAGTTAAGCAATGTTGATTATATATTTTCTTCATCAAGTTGACGCAGTGATAGCTAGATCTTGTTGTATTGTTGTTGTGTCCCTTTTTTTTGCCTTTTTCTACAGGTCTAGAAGCAGACTCTTGTTCATTGTTTATTTTTGTGGAACACCCCCCCCCCCTCTCTCTCTCTCTCCCCACCTTTTCTTTTCCTTTCTCTTTCATCTCTGTCTCCGTGTCTGGTTGGAATTACAATGCATTCAACAACAATAACAATAAAGTTTTAAGTATCAGGCGTGACATTAAAAGCAAACGCTTTGATGCTCCACCTGAGAGTAAATCTGTAAGGCTTGTCACCAGCATTCAGACATTAATTCTGCTTGCTTCACAGCCAGACAGGACATGGTAAAAAAATAAAAAATAAAATAAATAAATACTATGTCCATGCACCATTCAGACTTTAAACAGGTCACCAGAGGCCGGACTGCAATGAAAACTACCAAAACTACAGACTGGTCCTGATGTTGGGAAACTAACGGTGAAAATGGTCGTGATGGAGTTCTGCTTCTGTCTCTGGAAGTCAGAGTTTTAGGGGAGAGTCTTGGCTTTTCCCACTAGAGATTTGATCCTGTATGTTTGTAACTGTCAAGCTGAGACAGATGAGAGTTTCTGTTACCATGGAGACGCTAAGGAGCTCCAGCTTCAGCTGACTGTTCATCATTTGATAAAAAATCCATCTGATGGATGATCTGAACATGGTTCTGGTTCTGGTTCCTGCTGGATTCTGTCATCAGCCGCCCTGTTCACTACAAAATCAGCATCCTGTAAAGACTCACATTAGTGGAGCAGCTTTCACAATTATTCTCTCTGAACAACAAGTTTTAAACTAGTTACAGACAAATTGCAGCAACTTAGTCTGAGAGAAATGAGAAAAAGCTCCATCTCAGAGAGATTCACCAGAAAACCATTCACTTTAATATAATCCAGCCTCTCCTGGAGACTGAGAAACACTCACTGCTGCTCACTGGGAACACGCTGGTTGAATTTGATAACCTGTCCCATTGACCATCTCTTAAAGGACACACAGCTGGGTTCTGGTCCAGGTTCTGGTTTTCTGATGGTAAAAACAATAATTCAACTTTGTGTTTCAATTAATAATTTTGTTTTTAAGTAACTGTCGTTAACTTACTCTAACTTAGAGGCTTGTGATCTGAAGAGAGGATGATCCTTTAGCAGGCAGTATCTGTGAGGAAGATGGTGGAGTTTGTTTAGTTAGACTTATTTTGTTTATTAATTTTGTTTATTCTCACAAAGACAGGTGTTGGACACAATAATTTTTTGATGCAAGATCATATTTTGCTCTGGCCCTCAGATTGACCCTATTTAGGTTTATATTTGAGAAAATATTAAAGTATTTCAGATTGTTTGAAACACAGACAGAATAGATTATAAAGCCTTTAACTCATTAAGAAATTGAAAAAATATATATTTTACTTGAATAAACTGAGAAGAGTGGTGGACAGTTAGAGATGATCATCTGACCTCTGAGCTTTGCTCTGGCTCTCATGTTCTCCACACAGACCGGTTTTAGAGGGAGGGACTCCCTCCTCTCTGTCCTCACACTGATCCATGCTGCTGAAGTCACACCAGCTCACACACACGTCACACCTTCACCTGCAGAGGAAACACACATCATTCATCTGCACATCAACTCTGATCGTCCTTCACATCATTTGTGCTGTAAAAAGATCAGCTGCTCCTCCACTGATTGGTTCTTCTTTGTTTCATCTCATCAGTTGGATGTCACCAGACAACAAGTTAATAGAATGATGACAGTAACAAAAAAAGTACCGAATGTTTCTTTCTTTCTTTCTTTCTTTCTTTCTTTCTTTCTTTCTTTCTTTCTTTCTTTCTTTCTTTCTTTCTTTCTTTCTTTCTCGCAGCCTCGCCTCTCATCTCCACCAGTGTGTGAATGGATGAATGATACACTGTAGTGTAAAGCGCTTTGGAGTCCTTACTCTGAGAGGCGCTATACAAGTGCAGGTCATTTATCATTATCATTCTTTCTTTTTTCTTCTTTTTTTCTTTCGTTCTTTTTTCTTCTTTTTTTTCTTTCTTTCTCACCAACCTGACAGGAGGTCTGTAGATGGAAATAAGCTGAAGCATTGTACCTCCTTTAAAATTTAAATAAAAAATAATCTGAGACCATGGTCTTGAATCGTAAAAGGTGACTGGAGAGAGGGAAGTCTTGGCCTCCCTGCTTAGGCTGCTGCCCACACGACTCAACTCCAGGTAAGCAGAAGTGGATGGATGGTAGTATAGATGTAAGAAAATATCACTATGGCAATATATCGTGATATATTTTCCTGCAATATTATATCAAAATTCAAAGTAAGTGAATAAAATTTGTGGAATTATTTACATGCAGACATTTGTGTATTTTCTTTTCTTTTGGTGCAATTCAAATGCCAACCACTAGTTGGCAGAAGTGTGCAATGGGTTTTGTTTCCACCACTGAAATGCAAATCCCTCTGTTATGGTTCAGATACCTCATGTTAAACACGTTACGCATCAGTTTAGACTCTTTTGAATTTTTCTACAATAAATTCAGTCTAAAAACTGCTAATATTGTCTAGCTGGATATCGCAATATCATCTCCTCTGTATCGTGATACGTATCGCATCGCCAGAATTTCTCCAATACACATCCCTAGATGGAAGTGAGTACCCTAATTTAGATGGAATGAATAAAAAAGGGAGGACTCTATAATGATAAAACTCTAATCTACAAAAGAGTAGAAAGGAGGACAACTATTAATAATGAAGTGATTTAATGCATAACAGCTGAAATAATAGACAGAAATAAACTAGAATGGTCAGCTGTAAAAACAGAACAACTTATTCATCAGTCTGAATCAGAATGGGACATTTTTATAGGTGGGACTTTCACCTTGACTTGCTGATTACAAGTAATAATACA